TGGTTGATTTCTTGATGATAGCCATTCTTTTTGGAGTGAGATGGAATCTCAGTGTTGTTTTAATTTGCATTTCTTGACTGACCAGTGATGTTGAGCATTTTTTCATATATTTATTTTTTGCTGTTGTACTTCTTCATCTGAGAGATGTCTGCTCATTTCAGATGCCCATTTTTGGATTGGTTCTTTAAATTGGGGATATCTGGGGTTTTTGAGTTCTTTATATATTCTAGATGTTTGTCCTTTGAGGAACATCTGACAATTTTTTCTCATTCTGTGGGTTATCTCTTCACTCTGTTGGTGGTTTGCTGTCTAAAAGCTTTTTAATTTGATATGATCCCAATTGTTGATTCTTTGCAATATTTCCTGTGTGATCAGGGTTTTTTTCATAAAGTCTTTGCCATATATCTTCAAGAATTTTACCTATTCCATCTTCCAGCAGATTTAGTGTTTCTTTTTTAATATTTAGGTCTTTGATCCATTTTGATTTTAGTTTAGTGCATGGTGAGAGATATGGGTCTAGGTTCAATTTTTGGCATGTGGAAAGCCAGTTTTCCCCGCACCATTTATTAAAGAGGCTATCTTTCTTCCAGTGAAGGCATTTTTCCCCTTTGTCAAAGGTAAGGTAGCTGAGTGTTCTTGGAGGGTTTTTTGTTTTTGTTTTTGTTTTTTGCATCTTCTATTCTGTTTCATTGATTCTTGGGTTTGGTTTGGGTGTGTTGTTGTTGTTGTTGTTGTTGTTTTTGGCCAATACCATGCTGTTTTTATCATAATAGCTTTGTAGTATAACTTCAAATCTGGGATTGTGAAGCCCTCTGCCTTGCCCTTGTTGCCCAGGATTGCTTTTGCTATTGTATGTCTCTTTTGGTTCCAAATGAATTTTAGTATTGTTTTCTCTAGTTCTGTGGGGTGTGCTGTTGGTATTTCAATCAGGATTGCATTAAATCTGTATAACAGTTTTGGAAGTATGGCCATTTTCACTATACTTGTTCTTCCTATCCATTGGTTCTGATATCCAGTAAATATCTTTCATTTTCTGATATCCTCTTAGATCTCCTTTTTCAGAGTTCTGTAGTTTTCGACATATAGGTCTTTTACTTCCTTTATTAGGTTGGTTCCTAAGTATTTTATTTTTCTTGATGCTAGTGTGAAAGGTATCGTTTCCCTTATTTCTCTCTCAGTGAGTTTGTTATTCGTATACAGGAACACTATTGACTTTTTAGTCACTTTGTATCCGGCTATGCTGCCGAATTTGGTTATTAATTCTAGGAGTCTTTTGGTGGAGTTTTTGCGGTCTTCTCCTAGAGTATCATGTCATCAGCAAATAAACATGATTTGACTTCTTCCTTTCCTATCCTTATTCCTTTTATTTCTGTCTCTTGTCTAATTCCTTTGGCTGTTGTTTCCAGAACTATACTGAACAGGAGTGATGACAGTGGCCATCCATGTCTTGTTCCTGATTTTAGAGTGAAAGCTTTCAGTTTTTGACCACTTAGTATGATGTTGGCTGTTGGTCTGTCATAGGTGGCTTTTATTAGAGTGAGATAAAGTCCTTCTATTCAAATTAGGAGAAAATAAGACCGGAGATTTAGCTCGGAAAATAATGAGGTAGATAGAAAAAAAATTAATTCTGTGCCTGAGTATTGATAGTTTTTTAGAATTCCTAGTATTAGAAATAAAATGCACATATTTTGGGAAATAATTTTCTACTCTATCTCTTGTCTCTCCAGTTCTTCTCCATTACTTTGTCCCCTTTGCCTATATATATATACTAAAATGCTCTCTGTCCTTAAATTATGAAGAGTTTTCCATTACTTCATTTCCATTATTTATTACTTCCTTATTTCCATAGTCTTATCTCTCATCTTTTTCACAAAAATTTTTGAGTAATTAATATGACTGCTTCAGATTCTTTATATTCACTTATTCTTCTACCCACAGTAAGCTCACTGCTGCCTCCACCACTTAACTGAAATTAGCTAACTTTTTTTTTTTTTGGTACCAGGGATCGAACTCAGGATCTTGTGCTTGCAAGGCAGGCGGCAGAACCACTTAGCTAAATCTCCAGCCCTTAGCTAACTTGTGAGCCAGCAGTCCTTTTAAGTAATCATTCTGTTTGATCTGTTCCACTTCTGCTACTGTTGACCGTGACCTCCATCTTGAAACGCTCTTTCCCTGACCTTCAGTCTCGCTTACTTTTGTTTGCTGGGTGCTGCTAGGGTTCTTTTCTTGACCTCTTTTCTTTTCTTTTCTTTTCTTTTCTTTCTTTCTTTTTTTCTTTCATTCTTTCTTTCTTTCTTTCTTTTGAACAATCATCTTTATTAGTGTGTTTTCAAAGGTACATATATAATCCTGAGCTACTGCATTGGTACATTTATCATTCACTCTTTGAAGTTTACATGTATTTTGTTCCAAACTCTCTGGTGAGTACATTTTTATACTAGTTAGGAAAATAAATAATTTAAAACATCAGTCTTATCCTTGGAATCACCAATTAATTTACTCAAATCATCTCATTATCTAATTGTACTACATGAAAGACTTTAGAACATTAATTTTCCATTAACCAATTTCTTTTCAAAACTGCAAAGACGGGCAGTTCAAGAGCTGATTCCATAAATCCCAGCATATTCTTAGAAAACTATGTTGCTCTTTATCGTTGATGTTTTCTTGAATAAATTGGATAATTTAATTATCTGACCAGGTATATTTGAGAAGAATGGTAAGAGTACCTCTAATCTTAACATTTTAACTAGTGCAAAATGTTGTAGGCTTCTTTCACATATAAGTGGCACATAATTATCCAAATAAGAAAAATTTACCATGATGTAATGAAAAGGAGCATAACTCAATGAAAGTATATCTTTGATTTAATGGGCAAGTAAAAACATGTTATGTGAAATCCTTCCTCTGGTATCGATAAAGGAATACATACAGCTGATTAATATTAAAGTCTATAAATCCAGACCAGATTTACTATAATTGGCCAATGAAAAGACAAAAATGAAAGACAAAAACTCCTGTGATTATTGAGAAAAGACATTTATCCAACATCTCCAACTGTGGAGAAATAAATACTTTCAGTCTTATATTTTAAATTACTATCAAAATATTGTATCTTTCTATAAACAACCAAAAAGACTAGCATACAATATCTAGAAATGTTTCTCTGACAAGAATGTCAAGTTTTTGAAAATACACTCAATTTTTTTTCCTGAATAACCTATAATCTTAGGTTAAAATTAAGCAGTTCAAGCAAAAATGAGTAGTACTTAGATTATAAAGCAAGCAATTTTGATACTGTAAAAAATACACGTATAAATGTGAAACTATTGTGGAACATTTATAAACACTTTTGGGAGCACTCATAGATCAGCAAGTAATGGAATAACTGATTTAAACAAAACAAACGTGATATAATATGTAAGATTTGGTGACAAATCCAAAAATATCTTTAATTGCTTTAAAAGAACATAAAAACACAGCTTTATCTTTCTGTGTTTGAAAATCCAGCAGCAAAACAAACTTTGCATGTAATGTAATGCAATGAACATTTATTTGAGACTCTCAAAGTCTTGAAACTATTATACATAAGCCAGAATGGAATCCATTAGAATAAATGATTTAAAGATATCCAGAGTAGTTTATCAAGAACTGCTAGACAATCTCACCTGTTTCACTGAATCATAAGTAAGTTTACGTAAAACTGTGTTCTGGATAACAGACTCCTATGGCTCCCCAGTAACAAGCTCGGATAAGGCAGATCAAATCTAAGAAATAAGCAAAGGCCCAAGAACTGTAGGTTGCATGAAATTGTCTTGCAAAATCTTGGGTGCCAACAGTTAATCCAATTCCACTGAAAATACTTATCATTCCAATGGTAATGTATGCACAGCAGTGCCTTCCTGGAAGTGTACTACCCACTGGAGAGATTTTTTCACAGTGTGGACATTTTGCCAGAGTGTTGAACCTCAGTTCCATCCACAGGAATGTGTTTCCACATTACCCACACATGATCCTGGTACCTTCTGATTGGACAGGCAATGCAGGTTGAGCTGGTTGTTCTTCAGAAATAGGCATTACTGGACCAAGTTTAGCTATGCATCTGCAGTTAGGTCTCGGACACCCTATTTGCCGAGATGTGTCCTTACAAATGAGAAGACAATTACAAGGGCATCTAACATACCTCTTCCCTGTTGAGGAGTTTTTAATTGGGATAGCTTCATTGCAAACCGTGCATTTAACCACATGTTGGTGAAGTTTGCCGTCCAAATTGATTAGAGATTGGCACACGCAGCAGTTGATTACAGGAATACCACTGGCATCTGGACTGGCAATGGCTGTGTATGGAGGTGGGAGTTCTGCTCTGGGGCTGCTTTCTTGCAAGTAAGGCGGAGCAGTGGGAGTGACATTCCCCAAGTGAGAAGCCAACAGCAGGGATGAGCACGGCAGGGGCATTCATCCACTCCATCAGCAGCCATGACTACGGCGAGGGCGAGGCGGGAGGATCGGGCCAGCCCGGTGGAGGCAGAGGCCAGCACTGCCTTGGGTGCCGGAAGGACCAGGCTGTGTCAACAGGTGGGAGGGGGAGGGGGAGGGCGACCACCGAGAGCAAGGGAGGCTCTTGACCACTTTCTTGTCTCACAGCATAGGAAGTTAGATGACATTGGGCTTGAGTTCCAACTGTGTAATCTTGGATAAGTTACTTAATCTTTTTGATTATCAGATTCCTCATCTATGAAATACTTTTGCTGTCAATCTAGTAGGTTTGTATCTGAACTACATAAGGGAGGGGCATATGAAAAACAGTATAGATATGTGAGCTATTTCTAATAATTACCCAGTTGGTTTTATGCTCCCTCATTAAAAAGATATTAATTGCTTAGAGTGTCTTAGTTACTCCATTAAAGGCTAGAGAATAAGGCTGCAATGGACATGGAAATTTGAAATAGCATTTTCAAGTTAAGTGGGTATCTTAGTTACTTTCTCATTGCTGAGCCATAATACCCAATACCCACAACTCTTAAGAAGGAAAGGTTTATTTTGGCTCACAGTTTGTGAGGTTTCAGACCATAGTTTTCATTGGCTCCTGGCAGGGCAGGATGTCAGAGAAGAACAGCTCATAGCATGAGAGCGGGAACCAGGATCAAGGGAAGAGGGAAGTAGATGTGCTTTCCCAGTCCAGGCCCCCAGTGAATCACCTGCTTTAACCAACATCTTCACTTCCCAACATCACATCACATTTTAGCTATAAACTCGTCACTGAACGAATCTATACTGATACTGATGAGTCTCACAACCTTGTGACCCAGTCATCTCCCTAAAGCCCCACTTATGAGTGCACAAGGCTTTGGGGAGACATCTAGACATAAACCATAACATTCTGCCACTGATCCCCAAAAGACTCCCATGCACTCCTTTATACCTACGCTTGCTGTCCTTGACTCCCAGATCACCTCATGTATTTATCTCTGACTTGTTCATAATAACACCTATTTTTCTTGCAGCTATTTTATTTATGTTGGAGGGTAAAACATTTTTCTCATCTACATCTATGTATCCTGTCCATTCTCCTTTCTTGCTTCTTAGTTTTTCACTGCCCTCAGAGTTTTGTTTTGGTTTTTGTTTCCTGTTTGTTTGTTTGTTTTTGCATAATCCCGTCTTGAGGACTTTTTAGTTTCAGGAGTTAGTGACAGTCAAGGATGTGTCTGTGGATTTCACTTGGAAGGAGTGGATGCAGCTAGATCCCGCTCAGAGAAACTTGTGTGGCAAGGTGATGCTGGAGAACTACAGGAACCTAATCTCACTAGGTAAGGGCTACTTGTAACTCAGGACCTACTTCTTGATACCCCTTGGTTCTGTATGACCTCTGAACTTCATAGATTTGGACTGGAAACCTAACCCTCACAGAGCGTTGTTTTAGGGTATTTGCTTGGTATCCCCTGTTTCAAGGTGAAAGGTCTTTTCTTCTGTAGAGAATGGAAAATGGGGAACTTCCTGAGCCACACCTTCCTGTTGCAGAAGCTCTGAAAAAGAAGGGATCAGAACTATGCTGGGTTGGTTTTTACTCTCAGTTCAGAACCTATACTGGATCTCTTTCCTTCCAAGCAGGGCATCAACTTTCTAAACCAAACGTGATGTCCCAGCTGGAGCAAGAACTAGGCCTGAGGAACAAAGACCTCCAAGGGTATGTCTTTCCAGGTGAGTGTCAGGATGCTAGGCCCTGTCACAGGAGTGTCTCTCACTGGGGAGTAGACGCTTCAGAGGCCTTTGGATCTTGAGAGGCTAGTGCCAGTTAATGTATTTTCTATCAGGAGATGGCTCACAGTACTGATAGGACTCATTCTCCTTGGCTCTCATATGTGTCCTTGTCTTGGGGGGAGGTAATATGCTATGGGGACTAAATGAGTTACTAACTCATAGGATGCCTGAGACATACTAAGTGTTCAGTAAGTGTCAGCAATTATTACCTTCTCTTTGTTCTTCACCTATACTTTGCATTCGGTCTCCTCTGAATAGAATATCTCCTCTTAATGTCTTTTATGAGTGTTTCTTCCCAGCCGTAATCTGTACCTCTAGCTTCCTTTCCCTTATTTATTTAAACATTTAGAATCTTCTTTCTCACTTAAAAGTAACTACCATTTCTTTTCCTTTGCCTTCCATAAGGGTTTCATACAGTCTAGATTTAAAAACAAAAGAAAAATGACTTTAGCTTTGCTTGCATTCCTAGCAACCCTACATTTCATACATTTCCCTTCTTGTTTCCAAATTTCTAATCTGTATCCACTACCCAGTTAGTCCCATTTACCTCTGAATGTTTCGTGCTTCTTAATCTTGGGTACCTGGTTACTAACCCCATCACAGCTGAAAGTTCCCTGTTAGATATTATTACTAAGTTTTTTTTCTAATGAAAATGCACTTTACACCTGTATGTTATCTACTGTGTGTAAAAGCATCTGTCTCCACTTCTTTTTCCATTTCTGGGGATTGAACTGAGTGCCTTGTGCGTGCTTGGCAAATGCTCTACCCTAAGCTACATTCCCAGGCCATCGTGTCCTTTTTGTATACTTTTTTCACGCTAAAGAGCTAGCAAATAATTATTTGGTCTCTGGGTGGTACATTAAAAGAATGTATTGACAGTGTCAACACAAAATAACAACTCTTCTTTGAAGGAATATGAGAAAAGTTTATTCTAAGCCACGTATGAGTGACCTAGGCCTGGGCGTGCAGATGCAATTTGCCCTGAGTGATCCAAACAAAAAAGACTCATAAATACTTTTATAGACAGAGAACAACAGTAGTTATAAGTCAGTACATTCAGTGAATACATTGGTGGAAGCATTACATAGGTGGGTTAAGGTGTAGAAAATCTGAACATTGGACTGCATTCCTAGTAAGAAGATTGGTTAAGTCAGGGCTCTGTTCTTGGTCAAGCTGTGGATAGTCAATTAAGTCTAACATATATCCTGGAAAGTTTACCTAATAGTCATGAGAATGTTAGGTCAGATACAAAAGTCAGGAATAATGGATTGTTTTCTAAAGGCACAAGTATTTTATGTAAGATAGCCTTCCAGGGTCATAAGGCCTCCAGTAGGCCTGCCTGTGTTTACATCTCCTTATGAGAGGGAAAAGAAGTTGTTCAGTACTATACTTGCTTGTAGAAATTCTATTGCACTTGTTTCTTTGGCGATGCGTAATTTCACCATAGAGGAAAAAACCTCATGACCACCATTGCCAGTTTCCAGTAAGCTTTCTAAAGAATAGGATTCTAGATGGGCATTTAGCTCAGTGGTTCCGCTGCCTGCCTCGCAAGCGCAAGGATCTGTGTTCGATCCCTGGTACCAAAAAAAAAAAAAAAAATAGGATTCTAGGAAAGGAATCACTGGGTCAAATAGTATAGACATGTTTATGAATCTTGCTACATACTTCACAATTTTCAATACTATTTTGTGTTTTTAATCCTGATTTATTTCTTATAACATGATCTCTTTAAGGCAGCTTTAATTGCTTTAATAGATTTCTGTGGATTATATTACTATTGCTATTTTTATTTATTCTTAGGCGAATGACCTATTCCTGTCATAGATATTTATTGAGTGCTAGGCCCTGTTCCTCGCACTGGAATATAGCAATAAGCAAATCCAGTAGTTTCCTTGGTGAGCTTATATTCCGGTAGAGGAGACGATAAATTAAAGAAAAAAGGAAGAGATGGAGAAGGGAAAGGAAGGAAAGAAAAAAGAGAGATAATGAATACAATGTGATGGTAGGTGTTGTGTGGAAAGATAAGGCAGCTTAAAGGAAGCAGATTAATTAACAAGAGTGCCATTAAAAAAATAAAAAGAAAAACAAAAGTGCCATTTTATAGGGCTGGTTGAGGAAGGCCTCTCCTGAAAGATACTTCTGAACTCTAGTAAAGCGATGGGCCACATGGGGAAGCACTCTGGGCTCAGGGAACAGCAATCTGGAAGGCCCTACACTGGGAGAGGCACAGCATCCTTGGAAGGGAGAGCAGTAGTTTTTTAAAACTTTTCCTTTCACTCCTGCTGTGCAAAATCTGTTTTTTCTATCAGGTTTTTAAATTCTATGAGCTGCCCTCTTCGTCTCTGAGTGGTTTTTTTTCCTTTGGTACCAGAAATCAAACTCAAGACCTTTCACTTGTGAGGCAGGCATGGCACCACTGAGCTACATCCCTGGCCCTGCTTATTTTTTAATAGCAATCTTCCTAAAGACATTTATGCTTTCTTGGTTGCTTTTGGGTATGTTAGTGTACACATGCCACACTGTTTTCCGTGCTCACCAGATTGTTTTAGTGGGTTTTAAGGCCTTCACTGTTATTTCCATGAGTTTTCAGAGCCAATAGTGGGAACCACAGTGTTGATTCAGGTTTCCTCTCTCACTTCTTTACCCCACCCTACCCCCAGACCTCCCCATTGTGTTGGAGTGTAAAGATTCTTCCTTTGCTTACAATTATATCTCATACTGTATTGGACATGCCTCTTTGGGTATCTGTCTGCCCACTGGCACATAAGCTACTGCATCGAAATGGAGTATACCTTTTCTGATCCTCTGCCTACCCCAGTGCCTGCCAGAGTAAGTATTTAATGTCTTTGTTGAGTGATGTTAAATGGCATCAAGTAAAATTTTTAGAAATCCGGTGAAAATGTAGATTTGAAAGTCATAACCATATCTGTAAAATTCACATCAATGAGGATTGGGTAGTTACCAGGAATATTGAGTGAGAAAGACAGAATAGCCTGGATGGAACCCTAAGGCCAGTCACATTTGGCTGGGGGCTGAAGATGCCTAGCAAACGGCACTTAGTGTGGGCAGAGGAGGAGCAGACAGTTGAGGGCAGAGCTGGATCAAGGGCGAGAAAGAAAAAGTAGTGTTGAGTAAGAAATGCAAGTGCCTTACCCTGCCAGTGATAAGGAAGTGGCTGCAACCCAGCAGAGCCATTTAGTGCTGAGGAAGTATGCTGTGAGTGGAAAAGTGAAGGAGAAGCTAGTAAAGACTAAGTGAGTAAGTGAAGGAGGAGCAGATAAATACTGACTGTCATGGAAAAGGAAGCAAGAACAAGAACAGAAAGAAGCCAAAGGCAGAGCGCCTCTGGTGCTTTTAACAAGGGAAGGACTCGAATGTAGCTACAAGAAGAGACATATCCCTTACAGAGAGAGCTGAAGATTGAGAGAAGTGGAGGAGTGAAGTTGAGCCCAGAGAATATGGTGATGTGCAAACTCCAGATCTTGTTCTTTCCAGATTTGCTTGGACATTACTGCCAGGTTAGTCTGCCATTTAGTCCTCTTAGCGACCCGTCCTTACTGAGAAGAGATAGCATCAGCTGATCAGGCCCCCGGTCTTCCCTCCAGACATCACCGCATTTACTCATCATAACAAAACTAGAGGGTAGGTATTGTTGGCCTCTTTTACAGTGGGAGAAACGGGTTCAGACAAATGAAATAGCATACCAGAATTTGAACACAGGTGCTTTTCTTGTTTTGTGTTGTCTTCAGGTTTAATGATAATTCCAAGAAAAGGCAAAGATTGTAACTTCTTTGCTTTGCCCTGCTGTCACTTATTTCATAGTAAAGCTAGTAAAATTAGAACTTGTATAGCCAGGTTTAATTTTCTTTTTGGCATGATTGTCTTTTATTTTTCTGTACTAAAAAGTTTTATATATGTATATAGTTGTTGAATGCTTTGTTAGATTTTGCTCCTGTTTTATAAAAGATGAGTAGAAAATATAAAGGTAGAAGTGTTGTTCTTGGTGCCAGTATTATTGCTGGTAAGCTTGTTAATGTTTAATCAAAGCTGGACAGCATTAGTAATGAAAAGTCGTGGATTTCAGCCTTTATTCGTGATCATCGGATTTAAATCAATTTTTAGTGTTCTATGATGTAAGAAACAAAAGTTAAGACATGTATAAAGTTTTAGAGATCTATTATCAAAGATTATGTCTAAAAATATAGTTGAGGATTCTATAACATTTCAAGCTCTCCAGGAATCTCCCCATGACCATGCTAAGGTGAAAGCCTGTTGTTTGCCTTTTAAACATTTTGAGATGTTCTAGATGAGTGTCGGGAGTAGCTTAACTATTACACAGTGGATGGAAGAAATATAAAAGGAGAAATGTATCGACTTGCTCCAGAGAGTAGGAGCTGCTGGCCAGCCTCCCCCAAATACTCTGCAAGTTCTTGGCCTCTATGATGGCCTCTTCCAGCCGTAAATGCTGCAAGACATATGCTTCCTCAGACACCTCCATCCTGAGACTCTTGCTCATGTTCTGATGAGTCCCTAGGTTATATAAATCCTGTAAGTTAGTTAGGAAAGGCTGAAAAATTACTTCATGCCAAGGGAGTACGGGCCATCGCTGGAAAATTCTGCTTAGGAAAAAAGGAAATGCAGGACTATGTACTGCTTAATATAAAATAATAACAATGGCAATGATAAAAATCAACAGTCCTGGAACCCTTATTGTGGCCTAGCACAGGCTGTATGCTTTATAATGTCCTTTTAATGACACAGCAGAATGTTAAGGATCTGAAGCATTGTCCAATCCTGGAAGAGCTACAGTTTTTGATGCTTAATGCTCAAGTTTTAGGCCCACAATACTTCACTAAGTTTGAGTAAAAGCATCCTAACAGTTTTTCATTTTCTAGCTAGATAGTCATATAATCTGGGAAAAAATTAAATTTCCTCCCCTC